ACTGGTTATAATCTTCAGAGAAACTCCCTGCTCTCCTGGACGGAAACTGCAGGGTGGACGAAAATAAACCCCAGAGGGAGTCATGCATCTCAGGTATGAAAGGCAGGCCTGTCGCCTGTCATTGCTGACCCAGTTTCTCAGGGACACACACCCATTTGTCAGCGGCAAATGAGCTCCTGCCTCATGAATGGGATTTTTCTTCCGTTTTCTATGCTGCCTGTTTGATATGGACTCAGAGCCAAATGAGATTTGTTTGTTTGTTTATTTTTAAGTGCAAATACTATACCCCTGTAAGGGATGGTGATTATTGGGAAAAATGGAAGGTGCAGAAAGGGAACTTACTTCATCCTTTATTGCAGCCTTAAGAATCATGCTTTTTCTGAAGCTTTGGGAGAGAAGCTCTTGTTTTCCCTCAAATGCAAATAGCAGTTTCGGGGGAGTGAAGCAGCAGGAGGGAAAGGGTTAAGAAATCCTTTCCTGCCTGATGCTATTGAGATGATGGTCAGTTCACTACCAGCTCATATCAGCATCTAAAGAAATGGGAAGATTGAGTGAGAAGTGTCTGGTTGCTGGGAATCAGAAGGGGGAAAGTCCTGTTGATGTTGGTTAAATGTTTAGTTGGGGTTGGCGGTTATTTTAATTTGGGTATAATTGTAAACTGGTTGTTGTTGTTGTTGTTGTTGTAATTATTGGTTTCTATTGGTGTATTGGTTTGTTTGTTGCTTGTATAGAATATTTTGTTTTTTAAAAGTTTGGTGCTTTGTTGTGTTTTTATATATGTTGTCAGCTGCCCGGAGTGGCTGGGGGAACCCAGCAAGATGGGTGGGATATAAATTTAAATTTTTTTATTACAGTCATACCTCAGAAGTCGAACGCCTTGCAAGTCGAATGTTTTGGCTCCTGAATGCCGCAAACACGGAAGTGAGTGTTCCGGTTTGCAAACATTCTTTGGAACCTGAATGTCTGATGAGGCTTCCGCAGCTTCCGATTGGCTGCAGTTGGAAGGCACATTTCCGAACATTTTGGAAGTTGAACAGACTTCCGGAATGGATTCCATTTGACTTCTGAGGTACGGCTGTATTATTATAACTCAGTTCTTGCTTGCAAGACTTCCCAGAAGCGGCATCTGGTTGGAACTCACTCCCACAAGAAAGCAGTGATGGCCATCAACTTGGATGGCTTTTATGAGAGGATTAGACAGATTTCCTTAAGAGTGGATAGGTTTGATCTTCTTGCAGTCCATGGGACTCTCAAGAGTCTCCTCCAGCTCTATACAATCTGGGGTGCTCTGGGGAAAGAGCCCCGGCTCGCTATCAGCAATGGGTGGCCTGTGGCTATCCGGGTTCAAGGAAAGGAGAAGGCTGTCAGTGGCTACTGGCTATGACGACTATGCTCTGCCTTCACTGCTGGAAGCAGTATTGCCTCTGAATGCCAGTTTTGCAGACAGATGCACTTAGGTTTTGCTTGTTGGCTTCCTAGAAGAAGCATATAATATAGGAATGTTAAGAAGAGCCTGCTGGATGAGGCCAATGGCCCATCTCATCTAGCATCCTGCTCTCTCAGTGGCCAACCAAAGGCCTGTGGGAAAACTTCAGGCAACATCTGAGCACAAAACATTACCGCCTTCAATTGTGGAGGCAGAGCATACCCATCGTTACTTTGTGCCCATGTTGTTTAGGGCTATGTGAATTAAAGCAACAGCCTTGAACCCGGATAGCCACAGGCCACCCATTGCCGATAGCAAGCCGGGGCTCTTTCCCCAGAGCACCCCAGATTGTATAGAGCTGGAGGAGACTCTTGAGAGTCCCATGGACTGCAAGAAGATCAAACCTATCCATTCTGAAGGAAATCAGCCCTGAGTGCTCACTGGAAGGACAGATCCTGAAGCTGAGGCTCCAGTACTTTGGCCACCTCATGAGAAGAGAAGACTCCCTGGAAAATACCCTGATGCTGGGAAAGATGGAGGACACAAGGAGAAAGGGACGACAGAGGACAAGATAGTTGGACAGTGTTCTCGAAGCTTACCAGCATGAGTTTGACCAAACTGCAGGAGGCAGTAGACGACAGGAGTGCCTGGTGTGCTCTGGTCCATGGGGTCACAAAGAGCTGGACACGACTAAACGACTAAACAACAATCATTCTCAACCAAGGAAGATGTTTACTTCAGGTGAAGATCTGGCATTCATGAAGCCTGCGCTGGGTGGGTGAGTCACAGATGCATTATGAGCTGCTTCTCGTTCAGCTTCCCCTGAAAATGTGACACTTTGGACAGTTGTTGAAACATGCCTCGTCTTAACCACTTCTTATTTCCTTTGGTCTCGCTCCAATTTATGTCAGCCTGCTGGTGGCTGTGGTGAGAAGGACGTGAGTGACAACTCCTGGGATTTTCTAATCACAAATAGGCAAGGCTGAAGGGAGCGGGTGGTGAAGAACCAATTTGGAGCTTGGATTATTTCCCAAATGTCCACCTTTCTCCCCCCCTTTTTTGGAGTGGGGATGATCTGGTTTCTCCTCAATGTGCCAGGAGCAGAACGTCTATCCACACCATTGGTCCAAATATGTCTCACAAAGCCAAACTTGCCCTGCTGCAGCTGTCTCTGATTTTCCTCTTGTTCTGCTGATGGCTGGGCTTGTCTTGCCATTAAGTTGCCTTTTGCTCGATTGCTGTCTCAAAGTGGATCTCCCAGCGATCAGCCTCCTTGTTATTCCTGATGTGTCCTCCTTCCGCTCCATCCGGATGCTGGCTCAAAAAAAAAGCGCAGAGGTCCAATTACCCTTTGAATGCCCCATTTGTAAAACCGGCATGCTCAAGATTTCCCTGTTAAGCGCTGGTCCAGGTGAGACATTTCTGAAGCCAGCTGCTGCCTGTTTGAAGCCCGGCAATCAAATGGGCTCCACACCTTAAACTTTATCTCCATTCCTGTCTGCATGTCTCCTGATTCATCACTAAACCTTTGGCGTGCCACAATTTCCCTTGAATCCCATCTCCCCAAAATACCATTCTGGGTCTCTCTCAGCTCTGCAGTCTCCTTTCGTCATTTTTTGTGTGTGGGGTGTGTGTGTGTGATTGTGCACAAGAACTTAGAATGAGGGTAATTTTGCAAGCAGATCAATCTCCCTCACATCGGTAGGGAAGGAAATCAAGATGAAGAAGAGCGTTGGCTAGAATTTCCACGGAGATGTCAGGGCTCAATGCCTCTTCATTCATTCATTTTATTTTGTACAATCTATATGCCACTTGGCTATTAAAAAAAAAAGCCCCCCCTCAGTGTGGTTTGCTGAAATGATAAAATTATCAATAAGAAAAAAATTAACAACATTAATTTAAGGCATTTGAAAACTTAAAAACTGATTAAAACTCTCACCAACTTTCTAAACTGTTTTTAGCGGGTGCCAAAAGACCACAGCGAAGGCTCCTGCCTGGTATCAATAGGCAGGGGGTTCCGAAGTGTAGTCGCTGCCACACTCAAAGATGGAGTAGTTACAAATGCAAAATGGGTGTTATGTGGAACCTGTAGAGGTGCCAGTTCCAGTGATTGAAGAAGTTGTATGGATGTTTATATGGGGTAAGGCGATCTTGTAGGCAAACTGGTTCCAAGCTATTAAGGCCTTTATGTACTAATACAGTGGTGCCTTGGGTTAAGTACTTAATTCGTTCCGGAGGTCCATTCTTAACCTGAAACTGTTCTTAACCTGAAGCACCACTTTAGCTAATGGGGCCTTCTGCTGCTGCCGCACCGCCGGAGCAAGATTTCTGTTCTCATCCTGAAGCAAAGTTCTTAACCTGAGGTACTATTTCTGGGTTGGCGGAGTCTGTAACCTGAAGCGTATGTAACCTGAAGTGTATGTAACCTGAGGTACCACTGTAGTAGGTAAAGGTAAAGGACCCCTGGATGGTTAAATCCAGTCAAAGGCGACTATGGGGTGGCGGCGCTCATCTTGCTTTCAGGCTGAGGGAGCCGGCGTTTGTCCACAGACAGCTTTCTGGGTCATGTGGCCAGCATGACTAAACCGCTTCTGGCGCAACGGGACACCGTGACAGAAGCCAGAGCGCACGGAAATGCTGTTTATCTTCACGCCACAACGGTACCTATTTATCTACTTGCACTGGTGTGCTTTCAAACTGCTAGGTTGGCAGGAGCTGGGACAGAGCAATGGGAGCTCACCCCATCACGGGGATTCGAATTGCCGACTTTCCGATCGGCAAGCCCAAGAGGCTCAGTGGTTTAGACCACAGCGCCACCCTCCCTCTCCCTAATACAAATAGTAACATCTTGAACTTGGCCTGGTAGCAAATCGGGAACCAGTGCATATCTCTGAGCACCAGTGTTGTATGCTGACGGGGCCTCACTCCCATAAGCAATTGTGCTGCAGCACCCTGCACTAACATCTTCATCCTATCCCAGTGATGGCTGCTGTCCATTGGGGCTGGTAGGGAAGAAGAGAAGGAACACAAGAGCAAATGGTGTTGGAGTTGATGGAAGGCAGGCTCTTCTTATGACTTCATGAAAAATCTCTAGGGGAAAAGCTCTGGGGTGGGGAAGGGGCACCTGTGAGGCCATTTGACCTTCTGCTTTTCCTGAACAGGTTAAGGCATGAGTGGGGATTCTATGGTCTTCCAGACTGACCCAGAGAGACTGGACAATGTTTCAGGATGATGGGAGTTGTAGTCCATCAACATCTGTGAAGGGCTCTGGTTTTCCAGCCCTGTCCTAGACACCTGTCCCAACCAATCAGGGATCACATATTAAATGTGCAATGTTCACCTAGGACAGAGATGAAGAACCTGTAGCTCTCCACATGCTGTTTGACTCCAAATCCCATCAGTCCCAGATAGCGTGGCCAATGGTTATGGATGATGAGAATTCTGGTCTAGCAAGATGTGCTGGGCCACAGGTTCCCTACCTTTGGGTTAAGCAAAGATGGGGAAGTCAATGATGCTCCCAGCTTTCACTGTTCTTGATGCCTCTCCCTAGGCTCACCTTTCACTCTTATCTGGACAAATAGCTCAGTTGCTAGAGCATGAGACTTTTAATCTCAGGGTCAAGGGTTTGAGCCCTACGATGCGTGAAAGATTCCTGCATTGAAGGGGTTTGGATTAGATGACCCTTGTGGCCCCTTCCAACTCTACAATTCAATGATTCTATTATTCTTTCCATTGGCCAGCTGTACTGTAGTAATTTCCAAGGTTTGAACCCTCCTTGCTCACACAGCTTGTGGAAAGGAGCGACCCATTTTTATCTCCCCACCCCCACCGTGCCTCTTTGGAGGCAAATTATTTGGAGGCAAATAATATATTTTGTAAAAAAATATGAAACCCATGTGTATCTATTAGGATATTCAATAAAAACATTCTCTCTCTTCTTTTTTTTTATTGCCCTCTGAGGTCTAATTTTTGAGGCTAGCAAGATCACAAAGGCTTTTTAATGCACCTTCTAATGAATGCCAAACTTCCCTCTTAATGAATAGGGTTTGCAGTTTGCGAGGAAATCAAAGCCATCTGAAAATCCTGTTCTTCTGCATATCCCTTTTGCAAGGTAATGTCACATGCAACAGAAGGGGACACTTATTTGAGAGAGTGGAGGGTGGTTTTTTTGTCTTGTGATTCTTCAAGTCAAGTGGATCTCTCCCCCCTATTCTTCCCCCCACAATTTCCCTACAAACAAGGCTTTTTAAATTTCTCCATACAATGCCATTGGCAGCATATTCTTTTAGAGAGGCCCATTCTTCCCACAACACAGACCAGGCAGACAATGGCAAGTGGAGCTAACCCACTTTTCTGATGGATTTGTGGCTTCCTCCTCCTTCGATGTGGATATATTCATCCTGTTCTTGTGTATTGCAAGGGAAGAAGTCCTTGGCCTGATGCTGTTACTGAATGCAAATATTCTTCCCCAGCTCTTCACCTGACGCACACAGCATGGTAGCCTAACCATTCATTTGGAAGATTGTAAGATGAAGGATGGATAAAAGAAAGTCCTTCTTCATGCAACACATAGTTGATGTACGGAACTCACTCCCCCAGCAGCCAGTGATGGCCAACAAACTGGATGGCTTTACAAAAGGACTGGACAAATTCATGGGCTATCAGTGACTACGTTGCTGAAAACCATAGGATGGGAGAAGGCTCAAAGCCTACTTGAAGTTCCCTCACAGGCCTCTGGTTGGCCATTAGGACAGGGCAATACAGTGGTACCTTGGTTCTCAAACTTAATCCGTTCCAGAAGTCCGTTCCAAAACCAAAGCATTCCAAAACCAAGGCGCGCTTTCCCATAGAAAGTAATGCAAAATGGATTAACCTGTTCCATACTTTTAAAAACAACCCCCAAAACAGCAATTTAACATGAATTTTACTATCTAACAGGACCATTGATCCATAAAATGAAAGCAAGAAACCATGTACTGCAGTCACACAATCAAACAATCAGTAGCTGAACTGGGTTCCACACAGTCACAAAAACAAAACAAAAAAGCCGCAAAAACAAAAACGCAAAATAAATAGCAAAAACAGACAGAGTAACCCTCAAAACTGAAGTGTGGCGCTCAAAACGGAAGCGTAACACTCAAAATGAATCACTTTCGGCTTCTGAAAAAAGTTCGCAAACCGGAACACTTACATCCGGGTTTGCAGAGTTTGGGTCCAAGTTGTTTGAGTACCAAGATGTTTGAGAACCAAGGTACCACTGTATCTGGTTTTCAACACTGTGATATTGTCAGGCTGTAGAGGTTCTAACCCCCGCGGCAGGTTGCCAGGAACGGATAAGACAAGGAAAATTCTTTACCATCTACTTTTTATTCAATAGTTACAGAGAGGGGCTTCAGAATGCAGCCTCTTGGAATAACGGCTTTGTCCTGAGTAAATCTCCACCCCCTCTTCTCTCCCACTTCCTCATTCATCAACAGTAGGGCCATCCGTCTCTGAGCTCCTATTTTTAAGGCTCGCCGGGTTCTGGGAGATGGTGGGCCTGGAATGCTTTCTAGTGATAACGTGTCAGCTAGCTGCTCCAGCTCTGCCTCTTCCTCCTCTCCCACTATTTCCCAACTTTCCCCCTCATCTTCCTCTGAGCTGTGACCTCCCTCAACCCCCTGTTGTAATTCTGAACTGTCTTCTTCTCTGGAAGGGTCAGGCTGGGAGGCAGCCTCCACCATTCCCCCTCTGCCCAGTCCCTGACAGATATACGTATAACCAGCTGAACATTGTGATATACTGATATATCACAATGTCTGAAATAAAGATGGAACTATGTAGAGACATTGGCTGGCTTCACGGTTTTCCCCACATTGTGATAGCACATACCCACACCCACACACCCCATGATTCATAATATATTGCCAGGTCAAAAATTACAAAACCGATATCACACTATTGACTTCAAACCAGTTTGGGACGATATATTGATATATCCCCCAGCCCCATTTGCCACTGTGAGGATGGGATGCTGGACTCGATGGTCCATTGTTCTTATGGAGGACTCTTTTGATGTTCTTCTGTTCTTGCACATTCAAACCCTTTCCCTCCCTCCCTCCCTCTCGTCGGGGGCTGCAGACAGCTGGCATGGAGCCGCCGCAGTTTAAAGTTCCCCAGGTCTAAAATATTTATTAACATGAAGCTGTAGTTAGCACTTAAGCTGAGGGCAGTACAGTAGAAGTCTCTTTGTTGGAAATGGAAGTTAGTGAGGCTGAAAAGCCATTACGCTGTAAATATAAACTAGATGAAGTGCTCAGCTACAAGGAACCTTAAATGTCCCGTTGCCGGCTTGCGTTCCTTCTGCAAGGCAGAGCGCCTGCTTAGAGGATCACTTGGCTCAATCAATCTGCTTGCAAAGGTTGCTTTTCCCAGAGCAATAGCTCGCGGGGGTGGAGGTGGCGGCAGCAGAGGGTGAGCCAAGGGGCAAAGAGATTTTGAGGTGAGCCTAGGGGACAGCATTTCCAGAGAGTTTGATTATGTTTCTGTGCCAAGTGTGCAACATGTAAATGAGTGTGGGTGGATGATGCTGCAGGAATGTTTCTCCAGCAGTTGGGCTTCAAGATAGGGTAGGAGGGATGTGCTAAGTAGAGGTGGTCGGTCTCTCTTCTCAAGGGCCATGTTCCCTTCTTGGCAAGCTTCTGGGGGCCACATGCCCGTGGGTGGCATGACCAGAGACTAAACTGGGTGGAGCAATAAATGTAAAGGTTACCTTTGTACAGTAAGCTTGATGTACTCTCATGCATCCAAGTAAACTGGCTAGAATATTGACCAGGTTCAAGAACAATATTCCAACCAGACCAATACACATGTTTCAAAGCAGAACCAGTAAGATGAAGGGAGCATGTGACCTGGAGAGAGTTCTGGAGGCTGCTTAAAGGATGAAGGGTCATTTTTATTTGGAAGGCTCCCTTATGGCACTGGTTTTGAGCATGTGTGTGTGTGTGGGGGTGTCCCCTAAGCTCTTGAATTCCTTTGGGGCATCAGGAATTACCACAAGGTGAGGCAGGGTGTTGACCTTCGTGCCTCACCCCATCCCCATCTTGTGTGAGACCATATCTTAGCATTAGAGCAAATGGTTGCATGTACCCTGATATTTGTGCTGCAAGAGTCTTCAGGGCTTATCCAGGGTTTGGTTTCATTGGAATGAAGGTCAATGGAGACTGTGGTGTCTTTAGGATTTATGGTTTTATTGCCGCACATATACATCCTGAGCAGAGAATGGAGAGGCTCACCGCATTACCATTCCAACAGATATTGCCTCTTCATTAGGTTTCAAGGGAGATCCCTAAGCAAGAGCTTTGAGTCTAACACAGAGCAAGACATGTTTCTGTGTCTCCAGCTTCCAGCATCTACATACTCAATTGCCCCAATAAAACCTGAACAGTCCTGTGGGAGCATGGATCCCAAAAACGTGCAAGATCGTGATCTTGTGCAAGAACATGGAGACCCAAAATGTGTATTTTGAGGCTCAATATTCTCAAACAGGTCACTTGACTCACCCAGGAGCGCGGCCCGGGAAATGTGCTCCCCAGTTTTTCTCCTGGACATGTTAGAGGGAAAGCATCAGCCAAAACTCCATCTCACACACAGCCTTCCATGACCTATTTTGTCCTTTCTAGGATGATGTGGCATCCAGCCAGGTGAGGTGGGAAAGGGTCCACCCATTTGTCTCCATGGCAACCTTTTTAGATATGCAAATCGTGGTATTTAACTGGCCAGCCAAGGCTATTACCTTAACAAAGGAATTGGCTTTTCTGGTTCAGCAGGTCTCTCCTTATTAGATTCTAACCTCACAGAAACAAGATAATAGGCTTGGAAAGGGACCCATGCGTATCATTCAAACTGACCCCCGCAAACCTATAATAGTATGATTTGCATCCATAATGTCCTGTGTTTAAATCCATGATGTCTCCGGTTAAAAAGTAATGCTGTGCTGTGTTGAAAATTTTATCCTGCATTTTCTTTTCAACAATTCACCATCAATTAATCAGAAAATAAATTGCATTCAAAAATGATCAAAGGAGAGAGAGAGAATTTGGTGAAATCCCATGGGTTTCTATGATCATAGGAAGAGTCCTCCTGGATCAAGCCAAAGGCACATCTAGTATTTACTTGTGAGTAGATGCAGGTGGCGCTGTGGTCTAAACCACAGAGCCTAGGGCTTGCCGATCAGAAGGTTGGCGGTTCGAATCCCCGTAACAGGGTGAGCTCCCGTTGCTTGGTCCTTTCTCCTGCCAACCTAGGAGTTCAAAAGCACATCAAAGTGAAAGTAGATAAATAGGTACCGCTCCGGCGGGAAGGTAAACGGAGTTTCTGTGCACTGCTCTGGTTCGCCAGAAGTGGCTTGGTCATGCTGGCCACATGACCCGGAAGCTGTACACCAGCTCCCTTGGCCAATAAAGCGAGACGAGTGCCACAATCCCAGAGTCGGCCACGACTGGGCCTAATAGTCAGGGGTCCCTATACCTTTACCTAGACCTGGTTAGGATTGCACAGTTTAGCTGCAATCCTAACCCTGTTTCTCTGGGAGTATCATTGAACTCTGTGGGACCAATATTGACAGAGGACAAACCATAGCTAACTATAGTGGCTGTTCCCTTTGGGAAG